TCTATTCAGTTTAGGAAAAAATGCTTCAGTGTGGACATGTAACACTTAAAATGTAGAAACCGCCCTGAGAAGTGTGGTGTTTTTCCACTGTCCTCATGCGTTCCCTAGGGAAATTCCAAGGGGGAAGAGACCAGGGATAAAGAGCTTTTTGTATTTCTCTTGGGTTCAACTGCTAAAGCAATTTTTGTTCCATTAGGTTTGTAATGCGAGATTTTTCTGAGTAAATTTACACGACAGCCCCTGCATTTATTAATTCATCACAACTAACTTAGTCTTCACTTGTCTGAAAACAAATCGCCAGTTCCAACACCCACTTTTGGGGGCTGGGGATTTAGCTCAGTGGCATAAGCGCCTGCCTTGCAAGCAGGCAGTCGTGAGTTCGATCCCCGGTACCGACAAAAACGAAAAAGACAAAAAAAAAAAAAAAAAAAAAAATCCAACACCCACTTTTGGACCATATTGAGAATTGATAAATGTAGAATCATTCCAGGCTTACAATGCCTACTTGACATAACATATAAATGGTTTGCAATGCTTAGTTACCAGCTGATCCTTCCTGGGTTCTCCTCAGATTTAGTCCAACTTCAGTCTAAGCCGCTAGACACAGGTAGCTAATCACAACCTGAAATCACCCCCTAGAGGTGACCTAGCCTTTGGCTACTAGTTAAAATGAATCTTTCACAGTCTTGAGGAATGACAAAAATCCCAAGATATGATCTGTTTGCAAACCCATCTCCCAAGATTGCATATCAATGTCTTGCTTGTTATCCTTTTCACAGTCATGGAATGGGGAGAGTGTCTGCATTTTGCTGGTGCAGGTTCCCTAACAATAAATACTTTACAATTCTAAAAAGCAGATCCACTGGAAAATGGCTGCTTTGCTGCAAGAAATAAAACTCTGGTTAAACTCAGCTTTGCTGCCTTCCGCGTTCTATCTGCACACTTGTGAAAAGACAGAAAAGCATCACACCATCACTCTGCAGAATAGGGCAGCCAGCAGATCAGTGTGCACAGGGTGAGGGGTAAGCTGTACTCCCGAATACAGAGGTGGTCATAGTGGAAAGTGGGTTTCACTATTTCCTGGGATCTCAAATTCTCAGATCAGTGATCTGTCCTCTCAAGTCAGCAGACTGGGGGCAACAGTGACAGAATGAATTAGGAAGGCAGAAGGGGAGTGAGTGGGTATCTGGAGCAGTTAATTTTTCCATTTTAATTGTGACCTACAGAGCAACAAACTACATTAACTGTCCCCAGAAAAATTAAATGATTCTTCACTAACTAGTCACCCTTGTCTCCCCCTGAGAAAAAGAATTCCCAAAATTCCAAAAACCAGTTGTGGTATGATTGTCTCTTGCTAGGGGCACTGATGGGACACAGTGTAACTGATAGTGGCATTTGCTCAGAATGTATCCATCAGACAAAAGCCATGCAAGGACCACAGAAACAGTATCTGCCGCTCACTGTTCAGCCATGCCAAGGGCCGGAATTAAGACAGCTTCTGTAATTCACAGGGGCACTCAGCTCATAAGCTTTCTTTATTCTATGATTTTGGGGAAAAAATGGCCATGTTTGTGTTTGTACGGGAAACATGTCGAAGGCCGCATTTGTCACCCAAAGCAGAGTGTGCAAACAAAAACAAGTTTTGCCCAAAACTTCTATTTGCAACCAAATAGCTTATACACAAAAGCATTCACAACTAACATACCATTGTAACAGATAAGTCCATGGTTTCATTCCTACCAGTAACCCTGCACATTATTTCAAAAGGAAACAATTACAAACCAACATGTTAAGCAGATACAAGAAAAGCACCCGCAGGAGCAGTAATCTTCATGTTAGAGATGCTAAATGAGGCCTGCATCTAGGTATTAAGGACCTACAAATCTCAAATAACCAAAGACTTGAAATACAAAAAGTAAACACAGCCACTGAATAAAAATAAACACAAGGTCTCTAATTTTAAGGAATATTCATCTGAGATTTTTTTTTAAATTTTTGTTTATTTTAATGTGTATGTGTGGTTTTTGCTGTTTAGATAAAACCTAGGGCCTTACACAGTTAGGTAAGCAGTCTACACCGAGCTATAGCCACGGGTGATCTGAGACCAGTGTGTGTCAACAGGAATAGCTACAGTACTTTTTTTTCCCTTTTTTCTGTTTTGTTTTTGGTGCCGGGGATTGAATGTAAGGTAATGTAATACGTTTTCACAATAATCCCGGTCCTACAAAGTTTCTAATCACTGCCCCACTTAACAGCTAACAACACTGAGCTCTCAAGGGGCTTACTTACATAATCTGCCCAGGTTTGGTTCATACAGCTTTGGAAGTTTAAAATTAAATAAATTAAACAGGCTGAGAGGCACCGAACAGGACCAATTAGAGGCTGTCAGAAAAAAAAAAGCTGTCCAGGCCCCAAAAGACCAGCCCTCCAGTCATGACACTAGATGCCAGTCCTTCCAAGCTTTTAGCCTATAATCAGCCCAGATTGAACCCAGATTTACAAGCCCTTCAGAGGAGAGCTTTGAGATTTTCTAAAGCAGACATGTTTGGTATTTTAGAAGGTCAAATCCCCTGTGGTGCAGTGTTTTTAATAAAATCAGTTCAACAGAAATTAGAGACACACAGTCAATTTCTAGGAAGCCTCTGAGCTATTCAAAATAAGAGGCGGGGGCTTCACATAAAAGAGATCACCATGCAGATCAACTTCTTCAAAGGGGTAGGATGTAAGGGGTGTTGATATAGAAATATCGCGACAAGTTTAGTCCCATTTGCCTCTAGTTTGGTTGAATTTCCACTTAGAAAGGAAACTGGGCTGTTCCTGATTAGCGTGGCCTCGCACAGACATCTCAACACCCCACCTATCTAGGCCAGAAAAATAAATCAACGATCAGTCCTACCTTCTGGTGGTGGCAACTTCTAGTCTCAAGGGGAGCAAAGTCAAAGTCTGCATGCAACTCTTAGTAAAACTCTAAGTGGAGAATTTTTTTCCAGTATTTCCATCAAAAGGCAAGTTACATGGTGAAGGGGTGTGACAACTGAACGAATGCTACCTGGATTTGTTTCTAGAGCTTTATTGTTAGGAGGACACAGCTGGTCTGTTCGCTGGCTAGAGTGAGCAGTGATGGGCTGTGCATCTCCAACCCAAGTGCAGGACAGCCACAACAGCCTCAAGCATCCAGTACAAAAGAACAAGGTGGACCAACAAACAGTTGTTTTCATCCACCTCCCACTCAATTTCTGGTGACACCAGCCCAGATCCAAGACTTCCCTGTGGGATGGGGTTTACCGATTGCAAAATGTTTCCATGCAAATAAACTTAAAACCCTTCGCTGTTGTTTCCTAAGGAACTGCCAAGCTGAAGGGAACAATCTGAGGAGGAAAACCTGAACACACACACCTGACACAAAGGAAGGCTACCTCTGGAGTCACTGCCTAGCACGGATACTGTACTCAGCCTTCAAGCTACAAAACTGCTGGGTGTCGGTCCAGTGCACAGCGGAAGTAAGGGTAGAAATTTCAGCACTGCCAATCTTACACAGCACCAAAAAACAAGACATAAAACACCTCTCATGAAGTACGCATGTTCCACAAGCACAATACAAACTGCTATTTATTAAAATGTGCATTTATTCCATTTCCTGATTTGTTTGGGGCAGTGGTCTACTAACTGTTGAAATAATATTCTCATTTGTTTTACTCAGTCTTTCAACCTAAGCTTCTCTCATGAACTCGGCTACTGTCGTCTTACAGAACCCTAATTATGCTTACCATAAACAGTCTGGTTAAAGTACGCAAAAATGTTTTTAAGGTTAACACAAGAAAACTTTCACCCCTAAATACACAGGCTGTTATTTTTTAAGCAAAAATTTCAAACATACAAAAGAACTGGGAAAAAAAACCCACCATAGCAAATTATTTGCACATTTGAAGTACAAAGATCCATTTGGGTGGGGGAGTACACAGATATGGTGTAAGTTTAAGTTCACCCAGGTCACCTTACCAAACAGAAATACCTGTCCTCTTACCTGAATTAGTAACTGGCTAAAGCCCACATCCTAGCTGGTTATATTAATAAATGGTTAATTTGAGGGCAAGTAGCCTAGTAGCATTGTGTTATAATCTTTCTAAAGACTGAGGAAAGAAAAAAAAAGTGTAACAGTGCTGAAGAACAAAGTTTGAAGAAGAGGAGCGCTGTCAGTGAAGTTTAGCTAATTTCAAAGTCAAAATGCTAAATTGGAAAACCAGGGATGCGGGTAGACTGCAAGTTCAAGCCCAGATCAGGCAACTCAGCAACTTGGGGAGACTCTGTCTGCAAACTGAAAAATGAAGAAAGGGCTAGCGATGTAGCTCAGGACAAAAGCCCTGATCCCCAAAACTGGGAAAAAGTTTAAGATAATAAATTAGATAGTACATGAACTGTGAAAGCAGACAGTGGCTAACTTCACTCAAAAACCTGTTTTTTTGATGGTGCAGGTGGACACATTTTAAAGATACTGTAGACCAAATGGATCAAGCTGATGGATGTTACCTTTGCTATGGCAACTTCAGAAATCCACGCATAAAGAAGTCTAAGAATTTCCTTAGGATTGTAGGTATAGCCCAGGGGTAGTGTGTACTTAACATGCTAAAGGCCCTGAGTTTAATCCCCAGCCCAAATAATAATAATAATAATAATAATAACAATAATAACATAATCCTAGATGAAAGGTAAAACCAGAGTTATCAATTTTAAAAATGTGCAGATAGCATAGTCTAGTGTAAGAAAATTACACGTTTGAGAATAAACAAGATACTGGACTTCCTCAAAAGAAAAACTGAAATCAAGCTTTACATAATTAATATGTACTCTCACATCCCTCCCACAGTTGTGTTTTTGTTTTATGGTATCAGAGATGAAACCCAGGGCCTCGGTGTACCAGGCAAATGCTCCACCACTGAACTACCTGCTCAGCCTGCCTCCCCCCAACTTCAGGTTTTAATTTAGGAAAGACACTACTAAACTTCAGGCAAAAAATATATATATTTTAAAACTCTTTACAACAAATCAGGATGTAGGAGCTTACACAGAGCACAGCTAGTTTATTTAGGGACTCGATCCCAGCGCCTCTGGATGCAAATAACCCAGGTAACAGTGTGTACATAGTCTTTTCTCTGCTTTTCATAATTTTAAAGCAAATAATACATTTGACTGTACTCAAGTCTGTGCAAATAATCCTTCAGAAGAAATCCCAAGGTTCTGTCTGCAGAGGGTCATTCTGCCTCTTGAAGGTGATTAGAAGAACTGTTTTGTCTCCAGATAAAGTGCTCCTGTCCGGCAGAACTCAAGGCCTCCAAGCGTTGGAGAAGCGTAGATGAGATAAGGCTCTGTCATACGAACTCCAGCTTCCCGTGGCCACTGTACATGCCCCAGTGAACCAGGGAGAGAATCTTGTCATTGCTGAGGTCTGCTTGTCGCATTTTATCACAGGTCAGACAACAGTTCTCGTGCCCACTCACAGGCACCACGCACTCTAAGTCTAACTTTGCCACCTGGCCCTTTTTGGAATGGTGTCCATGAAAGCTGTAGTGCAAACGAGACAGCATTTGTTGTCGCTGGTCCTGCAGCCTCTTGTTCTCACTCCGGAGCATCCTCAAGGCCAACATAATCAGCAACACTAATATCAGCCCACCGGCGATAGGCACTGCGATCACCGCTGCCCGAAACCACAGTTCTTTGGAGGAAGTCAGCTCTTGCACCTTGGTGATAAGGTTCCTGCTCCCGTCCTGCTGGTACCTGTTTCCTTGCCCTAAGGAGGACAAACAGATTGATCAGGCTGCAGGTTCAGAGGCATCCAGGATCATCTGCCCTTTTTACCTGAGCAATACCTTCCAAAATAACTTACAATGAAATCAATTCTATTTAGAAAGTCAATACTGCAAAACTATCCAAAATAGCTTACAAACACTGTTGACAGGCCATCATTTGGGAGATACAATAATAAATGGCCTTTTTAATGTCTTCAAAATACTGAAAACACAGGCAAAGCCTATTATGCAGACAGACATCTAATGCTCAGCAGACAGAAAGCTGCTCAATAGAAAGCCATCTTTGCATTCAGCCCGCCTCTCTCTCTCTGCTGTCTCTAATTACATTAGCAACAAAATCAATAGCAGACGCACCAAGTGGTGGCTGTCACAGGCCCAGCCATCAGGCGGCCTTCTATGCCGGGCTTCCACCCACCTGAGGCTTCCCCCTTGGCAGGGGCGAGGACGTCATGCAGCCCCCTGTAATTGCACATGTCTTCGTGACAGCATTCCACGGTGGGCACAGTGCTGCCTGAGTGGTTCTGGGCCTGTTTGGCTTGGCAGACGTCTGCTGTGCTCGTGAGAGAGTCCAGGCAGCCATGGGTGAGTGGGGAGTTTGTATTCTGAGGATCGAGAAGTCTGGAGAAGCAGGCGCTGAGCTCAGACTTGCACATATACCCAGTTGCCACGCAGTGGGCGGCATCGCAGTAGCATCGAATTTCTCCTGAAAACAATGAGAAACCACGTCAAACTCCAAGACCGAGAGAATTCTGCTAAGTCCCAAGTTCAAAGGCACTAATTTTAGTTCAAGATGAGTGCCACAGTGCCACGCCACGTATAATGGAAATGGCCTCAAAGCAGTCAGTGCTTGAAGCTCAATTAATTGTCACTTTACAAAGCACCAAGTCTCACAGCATATTTCTGATGAGGTATACTGAGAAGTTAAAAATCCTCTTGTTTTTGAAGGAAAAGGCATCCATAACAGTTTTCTTCTACCATAAGGTCTTAAGTCACATTATCTATTCACTTTAATCCTACACAACCATATAGCACAAAAATGTTAGGCTTTTGTCAGTATAAATATTTGATCGGAACTACTGAATTGTTTACTATCCCGAAGGACTTGGGCCAAGATTTAAGAGCTTGAGCTAACACCTTATAAAGTTATTAACTAGAAACACAACAATCTAGAAATTGCCCAGGTCAGGAGGTTTTAAAACTATGAAACTAGGCAGCTATTTGCAACCTCTCTAGAAAAGGCAAACTTCGCCTATAAAGATCTTTTCATGCAGAGGAGCTTTTAGCCAGTATATTGTAAAACAGGAACTAGGCAGTTTACAATTAGTGGTTTGCTTGCCAAAGTCAATTTCTTTCAGCCCAAATGGAACGTCATAAAAGGGGGGAGGGGGATGCGTGCCACTAGGCTAACCTTTCCTCCCCCTTCCCCCCCCCTCCCTTTCCTCTTCCTCCTCCTCCGCTTTACATGCAATTTAACATGCGACCCGAAAGGGAAAACATCGAAACTGCAAATCCTCAGCTGGTTCAATGAAAACTCCTTAAGGAAACCTCAAATTTGTCTACAGGCAGTGATTAAAAGTTTCCTTTATAAAAACTTATTCTGTGAGTTGCAAAGGCGCTGTTAACATGTGTCACCATGCAAGATTTGAGGTTTGTGCATCGAGGTCTAGTCTCTGAAATATAATCAGTGCCTGAAAGTCATCCCTAACAAGGGCGCTATCCAAGCGGGCACATTCTGGTCATTGTCACCCGCCACGGCCAACACCACTGTAGGGCAGCAGACAAATGCGCCCAACCTTTCTTTCTTCCCAGTTCCCAATCTGAAGATCTGTCTGGGGAATGAAACCGCTCTGAAACTAAACACGGGCACTGTGGCTTTCCGTTCACCTTCCTTCCTCCCCTGTTTTGTGAATGCCTGAGTAAGGTGTCGCATTTAATTATCTGTCCAAATTCCAGGCCACCACATGCTGCACTCAGTTTTCACCAGCGCTGCTAATGCTTTCTTTGCTCTAGGAAAAACCAGCCCAGGACAAAACCCAATCTTTGGCAACCACAAACAGACAAAGCCAGAGGTCCTGCTCCTGAGTTTCCAACTGCTGTCCTGGATTTGCATCCAAGGCCCTTCCCTTCCCCAGCCTCTTGTTTCAAGGAAGAGCCTTGCTCTGCAGTAACCTGCTATTTCTTCCTCTTTCCAAGGTTGCTTTGCTGCTCACTGGCCTTAGTGGTAATGCCTGCATCCCCCTAGGCTGACCAGTTCCACATACAGATTGGAAGTATAAATAAAACAGACTGAAAGTCCATTTTGAGCCTACTAGCCTTGACCTGGTGCAGAAAAAGAAAACTGAACACAAGCTTCCATGTTTACAAGGTCTATTTAAAATACTATATTTTCAGTCACCTAAAACAGTCTAATAAAATTCTGACAGGAAACTGGGAAAGTTCTAAGACTTTCTTTGAAGAAAAAAAAGGGGGGGGAGCCGCATTTCAACCAAGAGAACAGACTTTTGTGTCACCGTATTAAAACTATATTTCTGTCGTTTCATAAAGTTTCTTCCTGTGGCATTCGAAAGGCCAGGAGGGGACTGGTATTTTGAAACAGGGAACAATGCCCTTCTGTTTCCCCCCTTTCTACTTACTGTATGTGGTGATTAAACAAAAATGTCTGCTCCAGTCAAGATGGCTACAGGAGAGCCTGCTGGCTTCGTTCAAAGCGTTTGAAGTCCGCAGCACTCAGAAATCTCTGATCCCCTAATTATATCATTATCAGGCACATAGTTTCGGTATCTGCGACTTCAAGTCAGCCTCAGCCCCTCCCTCTCCTGTCGGCCTTTGATAGGGCCAGGAGGCTCCCTCTGCAGCCGGCGAGGCTGTTATTTAGGTTAATTACACCCTTCCTTCCAAAATAAATAAATACTGTAGCACATCATCCTCGCGGGCCAGCTTACCCTTTAACCTCAGCCTGCTACATGGCAATTAGAGAAAAGTGGGGGCTGCGAAGGCTAAATAATGCTTCCTATTCTAAAAAAATAACCCCTCCGGAGCACAGGAGCTGGAGCCCCCGCAGGGGGAGGTCAGGGACCCCGGATCCCGAGGTGGGGCTACCGCACCCGCGGAGAGGGGAAACCGATCTAGGGAACTGCTCTTCTTTTGGGGGGTGGAGGGTACACAGTGCCCGTCAAATTTGAGTGGAGCGGGAAACGGGACCTCTGACAGCACCTCTTCCTCCTCCTAGACACGGAGCACACTCCCTCACACCTACACTCCCGGAGGCCGCACACCCCCGGTCACACCCACATACACACTCGGGGACCGTGCGTCGCAAGGCGCGCACACTCAGGACCCGCAGCCTCGCGGAAACACTTCGGAAACTGGCAGAACGACCGACACAGGCTCAGGGGTGCACACACACAATCGGAAACACCCACATCACGCCCGCGAGCCGCACTCCACACTCCGAGGGACACGGCCCGCCCGCCCTCGCCGGGCTCCCCGGCACCCCAGAGGCTCATGGCACAGGCTCAGGGGCCCCAACCGAGCTGAGCTGAGGCTGCACTCGCGCCAGCCCGGGGGTCGCGGGCCAGGCCACCGCGAGGCGCCCAGGAGCACCGACCCGTGGCGACCGGACCGCGGCTCCAGCGGGCGCGGCCCCCGCACGCCCTCCAGACCGCGCCCCGACCCCGGCCCCGCGCCCCACCTCTGGTGAGCAGCACGGCCATGGCGCAGAGCTCCAGCTGCAGCCAGACGAAGATGTAGCTGGAGTGGCGCTCCATGGGCGCCCCGCCGGCGCGCGGCCGCCGAGCCTCCGTCCCCGGGCGCGCAGGGCATGGGTCCCGCGGCGGCGGCGTCAGGGGCCGGGCCGCTGCATGGATGGGGCGCGGCGAGGGCGCGCGGAGGCTCGCCCGCACGCGGACGCACGCCGCCGCAGTCCCGCGTGGGCTCCCGCCGACGGCCGTTCGCAGGGTAGCAGCGGGCGGCAGCGCCCGGTCGGCCTCGGGACCAGAACCTCGCCCCTCCGCCTGCGCCCGCCCGCCCGGCAGGCTCCGGCTATAAATACTGCCGCGCTGGGCACCGGCCCGCCCCGGCCGCACTGGCGCCGCGCTATTGGCCACGCGCGCCTGTTAATCATCCGGCACCGGGGCGGCCCAGACGCGGCGAGGGGGGCGTGCCCCGGCCTGGAACGGCGCCCGCGTCCGGCTGCGCCGCCGGCTGCTGGGCGCGCGCGCCCCCTGGCGGACACCTTGCGGCCGGGGCGGCTCTGCCGGGACCGCACGGCAGCTCGGCCCGCGGACGCCAGCGCCTCCCTCCCCTGCGGCGCGCTCGGGAGCCGGCGGGGCGGCTGGGATCGATACGGCCAGCCTGCCGGCTGGGATCGGCGGAGACAGGCCCGGGCCGCCCGGAGGGTCGGCGAGAATTAGCAAACCCGAAAGCGCCGGCGCCGGCGAGGCGACCCGGGGGCTGACGCCGGTCACCGGGTCGCGCGGCCCGGCGCGGTCGATGGCGCTGCGCAGGCCGGAGCGGCCGGGGCCGGCTCGCGTGCTTGTCCGAGGAGCTGCCTCGCAGCCCTTGTCATCGGCGGAAGGAATGCTTTTCCCAGTCCCCTCCGCCAAAACATGAGCTTAGCAGAAGTCTCCCATTTGCAGAGCTTCTGAGTCTAGGGTCAGCCCATGTTTCCTTCTCCTGCTTCGAAGGGCGAGAAAACGGAGTGGAGAGGCGCGTTTTCCGCCCGGCTGGAAGGTGCGCGGTCACAGGCTTTGGGGCTGCAATGTGGACGCGAACTTGACTCGGAACTGGGCTGGTGTGGCGGGGAGCTCTGGCTTGGCAAAAGCCAAACAGAAGTGAAGAACGACAGAAAAGCCGATCTCGAAGACTGAAAATCAAGGAAAACGTATCTCAAAAGCCTAACCTTGTAAAGTTAGGATGTAGAGCTGCAGGATGTAGGTAATGAAATCGCCCTTGAAAGGCAGTGTTTCCATGCAGAAAAGATAAAAAAATGGTTCCATACACGCCGGCCTACAACTTGCTAGAATAAAATTGCATCCACTGTGTAAAGAGGGAAAAGCAAATCCTGGAGAAATTTTCAGAAGGAATCAAACTGATCAGAGTACCAGGGGGGGTGGGGGGATCAGTGTGAACTTTCCAGGACCATGAGAACCTTGGAGAGTTAATACTAAGGGGTCCCTGCAAACCGGTCATTCCAAGTGTAACTTAAGAGTCACTTACTAGCTAAAAGAAACTTGGAGAGTAGTATCTTCAGCAGCTTGGGAGCTCCTCATTGGCAGGGATCATGAGCTTGGGATCATACGGATGTCCGTGCCTAGACAGTAAAGCACAGCACGGTTGGATGATGACACAGAACTCCTTGCGTGATGTTTCGATGCGTGAAAGAAAGAAGTGGCTAGTCCGAAAAGGTAAAAATCCACCAGTAAGACCTGCTAGAAAGCAGCGGCCCCGAGGAGGACTCTTAAAAAGGAAAGATGTTTCAGGAGGGCCGTTATAGCCACAGAGGACCACAGGAACGTAGACATAAAATTGGTTAGTTGTGTGGGATGGGCGTGGTAGGTGCATTTGCAAGCAATTGTTTGTGTCTGCAGTATGAAATAAGGAGCAAGAGCTGGACAGAGAGGAACCATGAACTCTGTTTATCTCTGATGCAGATAATAGTTGCTATACAGCCCAGGGGAACTAGGTAAAAGCTGTGCCATAGTAGACACCTAGGGACTTCCTAGCCCCTTTCACTGGAATGAGTATTGGGGGTACTGGCCGCTGGACCAAGAGACAGTATTGTGGCCATGTCTAGTTACGTGACCAAAGCTGTGAGCCAGATAGGTTTTCTCTTCTGGATCTTTGGAAGGAGATACTGTGCTGGCGTCTCTAAGAGGAGGGCAACTCACCAGAGACTTAAAAACTTAGAGCTCCACCTGTCTGCAGAGAGAGAAAAAACGACAAAGATGGGCCCAGAATCAAGGATTTAAATCCTAGTGAATTTCCTGTCCATGGGCTTCACTTCACCTGAGGGTCCATAGCAAGATTAACTCAGTAATCTTTAAAAAGTCCCCCCTTTTTATTCAGGGTTCTTTTTTCGAAACCCAAAGGTACTTGTATTTTATTGAATTAATATCTACTTTTATTATTGCAAGTTATTTTTTTTGTTCCGGACACCATTCAAAGTAAGAGTTTGAGATCCATTCTGTAGACAATGATTTCAATTGCTTTGTTTTTTATTATTAATGGGCAAACTTTTTAAATGGCTAGAAATTAGTTTTAAGAGAAACAAGTCTGCACTTTAATGGTTTTGGAGCAGACATAGAGTTTTCAACTAAGTGAGTGAGAGTGTTTGAATCAATGTGGAAAATCACAATTGGTTTAGGGATGATATATCAATTATGAGACCGTATCTGTAGTCGAGAGAATGGGCAACAGTTGTAATTCAATTTAAGACTATTAAGGAAAATTGCTTCTCTATAGAATTTTACTTATGTCCTGTACATAATTCAGTCATTACTTTCCTACATGTAGGTTGATCAGTAGAGAGGAAAACAGTAAAACCCAATGTTATTTTGAAGTTTCAATCGAGTAATAAAATGAATGAACAAATTTTTTTATTCTCATGAAACGAATTCTGAAAATGCAACCTGAAAACAAGCTTTGTATACACCAAACAGGAAATAGATTCTAGGCATAAATAATATAAACATTCACAATAGTTTTATTTTATTACCATCATATAATAATCTACATGTGATTTATTCCTGGATTCATATACTAGGTAATCATTGCATAGCACTTGATATGTTTTTAAGTTTGTCCTAAACCACGAAACTCGTTTTGTTAATAGTTGAGGTTTATCTGCCTCAGAGATAAACATAGTTCACCAATATCATCTTATCCAAAGAATGCTTTTTTCCCCTATAGTTCTATGTACAATCTCATTTTCAGTAATGTCTCTCTTCCCTGTGCTTTCCGTAGGTTTTGTTCAGAGAAAAAGCTGCTGGTTCAAGCTCCTGGCCAGCACATAAACAACGAATGTAGTTCTCAATGGAATCTAACATTTCTGCCTGTCACTCCAATCTTCCATCAGCTAACAATCCGCAGGGATTGGGTAACACTTTGAATTCCCAGTAGCAGCTTTTCAAAAAAATCATTTGTACTAAGCAGAAGTTAGGGTTCAGATCTGAAATTTACATGTACCAGATTAAGGTCAAAGTTGAGAGAACAGCCCAGCTCAGTGGCATAGCCATCTAGTGAGAGTTTGTTTGTTTAGTTTCGATTTGTCGTGTTTTTCTCTGAAATGGGAAAGGAGGTAAAGAACTGACCGCAGTCTGTCAGGTAGTGTGGTCACACAGGAAGGACGTGGCCAGGGGTGGGATATGGCTCAATGGTAGGGCACTTGCCTAGCATGTAGGGTGCTCTGGGTTCCATCCCTAGCACCACAAAAAATAAGTTGGATACAAGTACACATAAATAGACAAGGCAAGACTGAAACTCATTCCAAAATGTCCGTGCTTCTGTAGGCCAGCATAAACCTGCTATGGGGTCTTACGAATAAACTTTTACTAGAGTTAATTTTTTTGAAAAATTTAGAAATGTGGGGCTGAAGATTTAGCTCAGTGGCATAAGCACCTGCCTTGCAAGCAGGCAGTCGTGAGTTAGATCTCTGGTACCAATAAAAAAGAAAAAGACAAAAAAAAAAATTTTAGAAACTCAGTAGTGGGCATTACAGTGTGACATAAATTCTGTGTCCATTTTTGGTCACTGCATAAATCTCTGGTCTATTTGGTTGTGTTAACGTAACTCCTAATTAGACCAGTAGGATTTTTTTTTTTTTTTTTTTTTTTAGACCAGTAGGATTTTAAGAAATCGCTCAGTGGCCTGCTAATGTGCATTACCTAGCAGTGGCTTACTTACCATTGCCGTCAAATAATGATCTTGACTTCTTTCTTTTTTTAACTAAAATTATGAATTAATCCTTTAAAAGTGACACAAACCATTTCCCGTCTAAGAAAATATCACCAATCCTGAACGCAACAAACAGTATTTTTACTGCCATCGACTTAGCACTTAACGCTTCCTTTTGATATGTAATTTAAAGATGTTTATGGGAAGCAGATGGGGATGGGAGAAGACAGGAGAGTAGGAGGGGAGGGGAGGGAAGGTAAACGGAAGTGAAATGTTGGAGATGGGATTGTGTGTGTGCCAGGTCTCTAAGGTGAATGGAATTATTATGTAACATAAACATACACATTTTTAAAAACTGAAAACAACCCATGGGAATCCAAACCTTGATAATTTCATTAGACAGCGGAACATTGAGATGCTTGCTTGCCACTGGCTGCAACCTTGAGTCTTTTACAGCTGCACACTCCTCTTCCGCCTTGCATGGGCCCATAATGACTGCTCTTATCTCGGCCAGTGCTAGACCCTCAGGACTGGAGTCTGACAAGAGGAAATGAAGGCTTCCACAGTGTGACATTCTGAAACGACTGCTGTCTGCCATCCTGTTTTCATCACTGACATTGCTGTAATTTCAGTTTCTCTGGAGTCACTTTTCAAAATCAGAACTAAAATTGCACTCGCTATGTCCAATGATATATGTATTATATATATATATATATTAGAATGGTTACATCTAGCTAATTAGCAAATGTGTAGCTGCATATAGTTATCATTTTTGTAGTGATCCATGTTTCAAGAAAACAACAGATCATATTTGCTGGGGTCACCATGCTATGTAGTAGATCTCTTGAAGTTATTCCTCCTACCTGACTGCACTGCCAACAGCTGCTCACCCACCCCACCTGCTAGTCTCCTTGGCCTCTGGTAACTGCTGGCCTCTCCTGCTGGTCTCTCATTCTCCTTTTCATATTCCACATAAGTACAGTTGCCTTAGTTACTCTTCTTTGTGCTGAGACAAAATACCTGACACTCAAAGTTAAAAGGGAAAATGTTTATTTAGCTCAGGGTTTGTAGAGATTTCAGTCCATCATCACCTGCTGGCTCCAAGGCAGGGTGGTGTGGCACAGGGGCATCA